CGTTTAGCCGGAGGTCCGACACGTATAGGTTCATCCAGAGGTTTCGACGCGGGAAGGTCTTCCATAGATTCGGCGGACATCTTTAGATCGCGTCAGGACAATCCCTTGTGGGCAATGATCGTCCTTGAGCTTACTGATAATGACTACAGCGGGATAGTGATGGTCGAAGGCAAGTCCACGCGGGCATGATGCGGCCTAAAGCGCTCACACGACGCGACTTCGTGTAATGACGTCACGCGTTGGACTCGCTAACTCGAGTTCAACTTGAGTTCTCCGCCCGTGGCAGTAAGTACTTGCTTATCGAGCACTGGCATGGTTAAGCTGTGTACTACTCCCCAGACTTGGACAGCTGCAAGCTGCAAGCTGCTACTGGGACTCCGCTTCCCAGAACATCTATGGTACAGAGGCGGATGGATATCCGATAGTCGCGGGTCGAGTCGTAGACAATGATATGCAGTGCATGATCTCTCAGCTGAACATAGGGCTATGCGCGCACGATAATGCATTGATAGCGTATGGTGAGGATGTTTGGTTTGGTGTAAGCACAATACCTCATGCCATGCGTCAGTTGGCCGAACCAGGGCCCGTTCCGTTTCTCTCGCCGACTAGTAAAAGTGGGTGAGACCAGTGAGAAACATGCGTGGGTAGGGTCGGATATTCCTCTCACCATCTAGGGCTACTAAAAAGCGGCTCACGCAGTTATAGGCTGCCACTATGGCCACGAGCTCCACGGTTCCCCTCTCACCCAGCAGCCCCTTCACGGACTCGAACGTCGCGTCCCTCACCTCGACGCTCCTCGTCATCTCATCTGCGAGGCATAATACCGCCCATAGCCTTTGGTCCAGCCCTCCCCTGGCCTCTCCGTCTGCAGCGAGATCCAAGGGCGCGGCGACCTCGCGCACCACGCTATCGATGGCGGCCTGGCTGATGCCGGCGGAAACGGCGAGGGGCGCATGATGACCCCATTCGTACCAGGCGCGGTTGATGGCGGCGACGCGGGTGATGGCCAGTTCGCGGACATCATCGGGAACGGCGGCAGTGCGTGTGCGAACGGCGGCAAGAAAGGCGTTCCATCCATCGGCGATCGGTGGCGAGTGCAGTAGGGTGAGATCCAGAGGTTGCAGAGGGCGGGGAGCACGGCGCGTGGCTATGCGGTCCACTATCGCCTGCTCTTCAAGGCTGGTAGTGGGCGGAGGATTGGGAACATAGGGCAGGCGCATCCTGGTAGTGATAGAGCGAGTTGCGTTGGAGGGCCGCAAAACTGTGAAAAGGTCCTCAAGCTCTTGGGGAGGTAGATTGTTGTATCCTCGCACCTTAGCTGCGCGCATCCACGCTACATGAGAAGCACCACTCCTCGGAACGGTCTGTTTCGCACGAGATGCGCATTGCAAAGAACCTCACTTTATAAGAATGTATCGCATGACACAGGCATGGCTCTCTCGATCACTCACGCTCGAGTGTGGAGGATGGAAAGAAAGAAGTGCATTTCATAGATGGTGTCCGGTAGATGTATCACATCCGTCCCTTCGTGCATCTCTCCTGCAGAGCGGATAGTAAAAGCACATCCTTGGATATCTGGCAATGAGCTGATAATACGCTGAAGTGCACCCGCAGTCCCGGATTTTTGCAGAGTCCCGACAACTACAATGTTTCCATCCGCGAACCACATTGACACGTCGGATCGTGGGTTGTTGTTGCGGGTTGTTGGTCAGGTACCGCATCTCAACGGGGCCGTTTTGCCGAGGATTCCACTGGCTCGAGCGACTGCATCAAAGTCACGGCGTTCTCCATACAGGCGATAGCGATGGTGGCGGTGAAAGGCAAGCGCAATAGCGTTCGGGCCGTTCCTCGCGTGACATCACGCATTTGACTACTGTGCTACGGCAATAAGTATTCATTGTTCAGTGTATATAGTGGCCATCAAATCATCACTGGTAGCCGACGATCGAACGCCGAAGACGCTTGAGGCATGTTACTGACGGCGGCAACGTTTACATGATACATTCTGCAGCCGAGCGAAGCTGTAAAACTGGAAGTTCTGCTAAGGGATGTCCGTAAAGTACACGGCGACGACTTGATATGAGTACATGACATGAACTACTGAGATAGCACCTATTGACCATCTGAGAAAAGAATGAAGTAGGTGATAAAATAGGTTATTGTCGGACTTCAAGCCAGATCTTCTGGAACTGCTGTAACTCCCTCCACCTCTGCCTGTGCATCATGCAACAATCGCCAGGAATAGAGAGATCCCCTGCATAGTAAAGGTAGTTCATTCCATAGATATTGGGTGAATTCTCTTTGCATGTCGACAAGCTGTTGACGACAACCCGCGCACAGGTCACCGATATCGTCAGGGACCGCATCCGCATGTACCTGCTGAAAGACGTCGTATTCGAAGTCCCGATAGTAGCGAATTGCATTTTCCTGAACACATAGATCGATGATGGTGCAGCTTGCGACGTTGTTATCGCAGGCCGAATAGACGTCGAAGTACCCTTCTCCGTCTACCGATTCACGGTTGACCCGGCGAACAAATGTTTCGCGGAAGAGCAGTATTTTGCGCAGAGCTGCGGCACTGATATTGAAATCCAGTATCTCCTCGAGTTCCGCGCCCACAATCGAATAATAGATAGCCATGGGCAAGATGATGGGTATATCGTGGTCCAGGCTGATATCGACGGCAACCCAAGGGTCGAAAGGTTTCTCCTCCGTCTTGTTTGGAGGACGAAGAGTCGGATAGAGAGCCCGGGAGCAGTCCTGCGTGGAGGGAAAGAGCGTCCGTAGATGCTGCAAGACGCTCTTTTGAAGGCGGTCCGCCATGTACTTGCGTGCCATGTCGAGCAGTGTCTTCAACTGCGCAACATAATATTGAGAGAGCATGGGTCCTTCGCTGTACTCGCAATGAGTCAAAGGCCTGATGATTAATCGGAAACACACGCACTCGGTGAAGTACATTGGTCTCAGAAATAACCGCATGTCTGCAGGTTCGTCGCTCAATCGAACGATATCCACACCCTCGTGCACCTCTCCAGCAGCGGGCGTGCCGCTCGCGAGCATGTCCCTGAATACGCCGCAGTTCAAGGAGAGTACGCCGGCATGGACACGGAACCCGATATGGCCACATGCAAGGATAATATTGCCGTCGTTGAACCAGAATACGGAGTCGCGCTCCAGGCTATCATCGGTTACGGGACCAAGCGTAGACCGGGCATGCTTGGTCGGGCGCTGCTCCACGTCGCTGGTCATCGTGTATGTGTGATTCGAGCCGGGTAAGGACACGTTTGGTGGTGGCGGTGGAATGACAAGTCGCGTCGGAGTGGCGCGCTTCGACGCGGCGCCGAAGCATCAACTTGAACTTGTTCCCAACCGCTGCGTCCCACGATGCGCATTGGCTGCGTGTCCGCCTCTGCATAACATTATTCGCGTGTGAGGGGACGTCTTGAGCGTACAAAGCTGTCTTTGCTGAGTCGGCCTGGCTTGGGCGCGACTGGTCTCTCGGCCCGACCGTCGACAGGTATATGATAGCTGTGTGCGTCTTGGTACGCCTGAAGCTGTGCGCATCAGTGTTCCGTAACGCCGTTGCTGCTTGTCGTTTGGGCTCGTCGCAGCACACGGTGCTTGCAGCACGCCTGCCAAGAAGACAAAGTCTTGTCGGATCATGATTCCAATCAGGCTGTGGTACGGCCGTATATAACGACGAGTGCGCTTGATCAACATTCCCCTAGCCCTGTCTGCTCTTTCTTCGTTCCCCTGGTACTGGATACCCCATTTTCCTTCTCTTCTTCGCGCTCTTCTTATTTGCCTTCTCCTTCTTATTCTTCTGACGAACGCCCTCTCACGTTAATTCAACAACACTCTTTCACACCATGCAGTTCACCGCACTCGTTACGTTCGTCGCTGTCGCCCTCCGTGTCGCGCCCGCATTCGCTGCACCCATTCCGTGCGTTGACATGCTCGTCGCTCGTCTGTACTTACACTGACGCATTTCACAGTACCGTCGATGCGCTCACTCAATCTGCTGCCCTTCTTTCCAATGCGCTTCCCCTGATGGACAAGATGAAGCTGGACCTGCAGATTCACGACCAACTCCTCGCCAGCCTCCAAACCACACCCATGACCCCCACACAACTACTTGAGACACAGAAGCTCCTCAGCGCCGCACAGCAGAATGTAGCTGCCGACCAGGCCGCGATGCTAGCGATGGAACAGCAGATCTACCAAACGCAGGGACTCGCGTCTTCGCAGACCCTGCAGATCGCCCAGCAAGAAGCGAACCTTGCTTCGCAAGCGGCCAAGTTGCTCACTGGCCAGTACTATCGTATGTTGACCTTTCGGAAAGTCTGGAATATGCGCTGATGCTCCGTATAGTCGCGTCTCAGCAAGGCATGATCCAAGATGACGAAGGTGCGCGTGGTTGCCAACCTTGATCGCCGGGACATTCTGACCTGATTCCCTTCAGCATTCATCGCGACTGTGCAAGCTATGACGGCGCAACAGCAGGCGGCCACCCAGACCGAGCAGTCAGAGACGGCTGTGCAGCAGGGTCAAACCGCCAACGTCCAAAGTTTGACGGCTCAGCAACAGGCCGCGACGGGCGCGCAACAGGCTACAACCGGAGCGCAGCAGGCCGTCACAGGCGTCCAGCAAGCCAACACCGCATACGCCGAGGGCCAAGTCGGCGCCTATCAGAACGCCGTAGCGTTTGAGGAGGGTCTCACCGCGCGTACCTTGCTCGGGACGACATATGCGCCCGCACCCATTCTCGCCGCTCCCGTTGCCGCTGTGGCCCCGTCTTTTGCAGTCGCCGATGCGACCGTTCTCATTCCTACGCTCGACACGCTTGCCGCTCAGCTTCAGCAGGAGACAGCACTTCTTGCCGCGCTCATGAGCACCGTCAGCGAGACCTCCACCGGCACCTCCGCGACCTCTCAAATCGCAATTCCCGTCACTGTCACTGAGCCCGCCGAGGGCGAGGAGCCTGCGGAGGGGGCTGAGAGTGAGCCGGTTGAGGAGGGCGAGTCGGCGGGAGAGGGTGAGTCAACGGAGGAGGGCGAGGGCGAGCCTGAGTCTGCTGGCGAGTCCGAGGCTTCTGAGCCGGAAGCCGAAGAAGCGTCTGCAAGCGAGTCCGAGGCTGAGGGGGGCGAGGGCGAGGAGTCTACCGCCGCAGAGGGAGAAGGCGCTGAGGAGAGTGAGACTTCCGAGGAGTCTGAGGTCGCCGAGCCGACCGAGGGCGAGGCTTCGGAATCTGCGGAAGGCGAGAGCGAGGAGGAGTCGACTGAGGGCGACGGTGAAGTATCCGAGCGCCCCCAGCCGGTTGTGACCTTTGTGCCGCCCACCGCCGGTCAGTTCTCTGAGATCGTCAACGGCCCGTAGGTGTTCATCAGATCTCCGACGATGTACACTCGCTAATTCTCTCGTAGATATGTCAAGGTTGTCCAGAACTACAAGCCTTGAGTTGCCTTCCTTGCGACGGATGGACATGAACCACGAGTGAACTTTACGACCTATTTATCTTCTATTGCCAGTACCTGGAGACGGAGCAGACTTTTTTCAAGCATGGACTTCACAGTGTTGAATACGTTAGTATACCGGGCGTTTTTTCTAATTCATCATTTCATGGGCTGTTCCGAGTCTGAAGCTGCGATGCGTGATATTTTGCTTGCGTGTGAGCTCTTGTAAGTAGCAGAGCGTTCGAAATCGAGAACAGGCGTGGCAAGCGTCAGGTATGGGATACATATTGCGAGACGCTCAAAGTTCAGGTAGCGCGTCTCGTTCAGCTACGCTCCTGCACCAGCGGCAGCACCGGCACCGGCACCATTGTTTCGCCTGTCCTTCTCGCGCCTGATCTGTACATATATGAAGGATACCACCAGCTCATCAAGGTCATTGAGTACCCGTGGATCATCGCTGATCTCCAGGTATGCTGGGTGTTTGCTCCCGAGCATCCCAAGTGACCGCGAGTGCGACCGACCGACTTCCGGTCCGTTGAATAGACGAAGCTATCGGGTGCGGTAAGCTCGAGCGTGGCGAACGAAAGAGATCGTAGATGTGCTCACCCTCCACGCCTTTCCGTTGCGATCCCATTCGTATGTCTGACCGCTTGCGGATGTGAAGACTCGACGTCTATAGCGAAATGTGTGCATCAGATCACCGAGTCGCAGGACCCTTGACAAGGGTGTCATGGCGAGAGGTGATGCTCACTTTGACCACCATGAGGGTTTTGTCAAGTATGTTTTCGCCTTGAGTCTTCGCCCGCCCAGTGTAATGCCGTCCGAGCCCCAGTTATGAAAGTGTATAGACGCGAGGGTCGAGGATCCAACACTCCCGAACTTGAGCACATCGGTCGAGCGCCCAAATGTACTCGACGTTGTGGCATACAGCCTGCGACCGGAGTCGTCGACGAGGGTAGTATCAGTGATGTGGTGAGAGGTGTAACTGAGGCGCATGTCGACTTGTCAAGAGCCCTTCAGAGATCTAGGTGCTCTTTATACTGGCCTGCTTCGTTCAACTCTGTGCCTCAATTGTGCGGCGACGCTAGCCAAGAGCGCGTGATGTTCGTACGTCTTCGTGGCCAGTGGAGATGACTGATTTTGTGGCTCAGTGCCGTACTAAGAACCGATGACGCAGACGAACGCATGCTTCGGGCACCCAACGCCGCCGAGCAAGCAACGAATGTAAGCTGGAGTTCGACAATAATGCGGCGCCATTGCTGGCCACGGGCGTCGCAAGCGGAAAGACCCGATTCATGAGGTCGTACCGAGGCGACCTAGTGGACAAGGATACTGACATGGTAGATCCAGCTCGCAATGTACAATCGAGACGGCGTCAAGAGGTCAGTTCTTTGTGCAAGAGAGCACGGCCTGATGTATGACCTCCACTGCTGACCGACAGAGACTGCAGTGGGAGGCCCAGACCCACGAGCTCCTAGAAGGAATACCGAAATCTCGTTGAGATGAAGGTGTAATGCCACGTACCATCAGTGGATATGATTCAAGGCACCCTGAATTGGAGCAGCGCAACACGAGTCTGCCTACGGGAGACTACCCTATATGACGTCTACGGAAGGGCTTGCCGTTCTCACGAATACCCGAGTACATCCCGATCTCCTCGTCATGTGGGCTATCCGTGAGGGCAAGATTGAATGAAGTGAAACATGGGCTTGTGAAGTCATTCAATACTGGAAGTACAACTGAGTCGGATGGTGAAGGGTATAGTGCAGACCGAGAGTCAAGGGCCGAGATAGTCGTGAAACTGTCTATAGATGAATAGCCTCAGCACGCAATACCGGTTGAATCTCGTGAAGACGTACCATTGCATCTAACAACATCCACCACCACCACCTCCTCCTCCTCCTCCCCCGCCACCCCCAACACCGCCGAAGCTAGCTGCGCCAGCGCCAGAACCCGATGAACTTTGGCTCCTCTCTCTGATTTGTAGGTACACAAAGGTCGCGACCAACTCATCGAGATCGTTCAAGATGTTGGGATCATTGATGAGCTCTGGATAGGGTTTATGCTTCTTGCCCAGTAATCCCCGCGAGCGTGAGTGAGAGCGCCCAGCTTCTCTACCGTCTGGCAGACGCAGCTGTTTTCGGAGCATCAGCGCCTGACGCGCCACCATATGATAGCTTGATGCTCACCCTCCATTTGTTTCCCTTCGGCACCCATTCATACGTATATCCACTAGCAGATGTGAACACCCTGCGTCTGTGAGGCGCTAGGCTAGTCAGCGCAGCTACGATCAACTGGAGGAGCATAGACTGACCGTGACCACCAAGAGGGTTTGGTGATATACGACTTTGCCGTTCGCTTCTGCCCGTTAATCGTGATAGTGTCCGACCGCCAACGATGGAAGCGCAAGGTGGCGAGGTTCGAATTCCACATATGGCCGGACTTCATAACCTCGGTCTGGCGCCCGAAGGTACTTGTTGACGTTGCGTACAGACGATGACCAGAGTCGTCAACCAGAACTGTGTCGGTAATGAGGCGTGAAGTGTAGATGAGGCGCATGATGGTAGTTAGTCCAGCCTCAGTGCCAGAGAGCCGCCGTATATGTACTGTACACACGACTCCATGCATGGCCTTGGTCGATTGAAGAGGCTGTGCCAACGGTGACAGTCCTCGGCGCCTGCCTAGTACCGCCACAGCGTGCCGCTTGTCAGTGAACACGGCCAACGATACCCTATGTACGGGCGCTATATCGGCTCCATCGTGAGTGACCAACCTACGTAGAGGCCCATCACCATGCTTCATCGCAATCGGCCGCCTCACAGCGCGCACCTAGAAGTATGCAGCTTGCACCATTACAAGGATCGAGACAAAACAATCATGGGCTTGCCCCGCGCTCGGAGGCTTCTGCGCAACTGTCCTCGTAGTTGGAAGCAAGATCGACTCGCCACGTCGCGTCACGTCGCGTCGAGAGCGTCGTGATCGGATCAAAATGCATAACACGAGGCTCTCTCCACGGGTTGTAGCCATCAAACGCCGCTTGTGTTCTGCCACGATCAACGATCCCGACACAATACTCGGCTTCCTTTTTCTGTCAAACACAGCCGCTGGTGGCGCAGATCTGGTCTCGCCATGTTGGCCTGCGTGACGACTTCGAAAGCGCGAGAAGAATTGATTTGATCTATTATGCCAATAGAAGCTTGCTAACAGGACAAGAAAGTCAGTTGACTGGGCACTTTGACGGAGAGGTTCGGGCGCAAGCACTTCGAATGACATCGAGCGGCGCCATGAGGAACTCGCAGTAAGGAGTGCAAGGCTCTGTTGCTTTGTGACGGAGCTGTAGGTGGCAGAGTGATTGTTCATGCGCAACATACTCGAGGTTTGTAGTGCTCACCGTGAGCCACGAACGATGTCAGCTGCTACTCGCCCAAGCCAAGTGACGACATCGCGAACCCCTCATTTCGTGGAGTGGCGGGGATATTTCCGGTCGACATTCGGTTGACGCCGTGCAAGACCAATTCAAGGCCAATCCTCGCGGAATTTGGATTTCGCGACGCGCCGGGGATAAGTCCGCCAACTGCTTTCTGTTCACCTCAGAGTTGTAGTGCCATCGTTGCCAAGCTGATGATCGACGTCTAGGACACTGAAAAATGCACTCGTATTTCTTCCTACAGCTCACCAGTGTTATTGCTCTCACCTGGAGGCGCTGGTCACCTCATCTCTGCGTCAAACTGTCCAGCGCATCGAGCAGGTACAGCTTCTGTGTACGATACACAACATCCAGAGTATGAGGTACTCGATGATGTGAGTGTTGCCAAGAACTGAAGAGCGTACGCTTCATGACTGTCTGCCAACTCAATTGGAGCTCTGACACAGCTTCTTGAATTAGGGCGCACACGCGACGACGACACAATCTAGTATTTATACATGATGCCTTCAAGGTCAACGTTCAAACAACAGTCCTCTTCCAGCATGCGCCTGAGCTATACCTCGAACCACATCACTGACACTGTCCTGGTTGACGACTCAGGGCGCCAGCTGTACTCTACCTCTTCGAGCACCTTTGGAGGCAAGACCGAGGTGAAGAAGGTCGAACAAATGTGGTGCTCTAACTTGGCCACCTTCCATTTCACTTGCGTACTGCCGGATACCGTCACGATGAACGGCAAGGATTGTCCCGTGAAGACATACATAGCCAAACCTTCGTGGTACTCTCGGTACGTAATCGGCGTCCTAGTCTTCGAATGACGCTGACATATTGAGTCTTGTAGGCGCCGAGTCTTCACATCCGCGAACGGCAATACGTACGAGTGGATAGCAAAGGGGCTAAGTGGATGGATAGTGAGTCCGGTTGATAGATCGAGGCGTGCCACGTTATTGATATGTCTCCTCAGCTATGCTTGCCAGACGGCACCGAAGTTGGCCGCTCTCACTCCCGCTCGTTTGGACTGCTTGGAACCAGACACACTCCATACCTCGAGTTCAACGACGACCCCACGATCTTGAGCGATCTCGATGAGCTGGTCGCGACTTTCGTATATGTGCAGATAAGGCGGGAGAAGGATGAGAGGGCGAGCGCATCTGCACCTGTGGCCACCGGCTAGCTGCTAAGCTTGAGAGCTTATGGGCAAAAGCGGCATCATAGGCAGACGATGGAGCGTAAGGTGAGACCGGCAGTATGATTCTGATCCCGTAATTCGAAAGTGGAGTAAGGATGTTTGGGGTATACTAGCAAAACAGACGTGATACATTCTTGTGGCAGAGGTCCCTATTTCAGAGCAAGTCCGTATCGTCAGAGTTCAAGATGAGCCTCGCGTAGAAGCGTATCCCTTCAATATAGCCATCCGCTTTGACGGCTAGAAAGACCCTTGTTAGCGGTCTGAGTGAATCACGTGAACATGACGGCGCGCACCTTCGTTCACGGTGTGGAGTCCATTGTAGCGGTCGGTCACCCCGATGTGGTTGTAGCGGAAGATGCTAGTCCAACGAGGTCAGCCATGGCACACAAGAGTAGCATCGCACTTCTTACTTCTTCGTCAAGCTCCAATACCACTTCGTATCCGAGTTGGCAACCATGATCCCGGGTGCGACGACAACACGCTTGTCGACGATCTCATCGCGGATTGAGGTGCCCAATGACGAAAGGATAGTGCCGGACAACAACTCCCACGCCCCGCTTCCGTCCGTCGGCGACACAGGCGCGGGCTCAAGCCCAAAGCCGCCGTCCGAGACGATGATATGACCTTTGGCCGGCCCGTTGGCGCCATGTAAAGTACCGAAAGTGTCGAGAGTGAGATTGAGCTTCTCGGCGAGTGGCGCCAGGATCTTCGCGTAGCGAGCGCGGGTCTCAGGAACGGAGCTGTACTCGGCGACGCGGTGGTTGACGATCGCATAGGCGCGTTCGGGTAAAGCATTGCTCTTTACACCGCCGTGAATGATGTCGACCGCCTGTGTCGTACCGGCGTATGCGCGGAAGGTGCGCTCATCACGTTCAAGTAGAGCCTTCTCCGTTTCAATGAGGGCTTCGTCGTCTGTGCTTGCTGCTGCGACGAGCTCGCGCAGATCATCCGGAAGAGAGTCATCGTAGGCCGCGGCACATTGAAGGGAGCGGAAGTAGGTTCCGTCGCGCTTGAGTGAGGTGGGATAAGGGTTGTCTTCGAGCGCTGCAACGACCCGTGCCAGATAGCCGATGCCCTTAGCAAAAGGTGAGGAACAGGTTTGAAGCATCGTGAGCACAGCACGTACTGTATGCGTCGGAGGGACACTTGAGTGGCCACCGGGTGTAGTGACCTCGACATTGACATTCGTCGCGCCCTTCTCGGCAACAGAAGGAGCAGCGATTACGACGTTGTCGCGGATATCATACTCTCCGCCCTCATCAAGAATCAGAGCGAGACCGTCCTTGCCGTACTTCTCAAGCAGGAACTTGGCAATGTTTTGGGCGCCCTATGAGAAGCATACAGTTAGCTCTCAGCTGGGAAAGGAAAGATAGATGTACGTACATGGAAGCCACCCCGTTCTTCGTCGAAGCCATACGCAAGCACAATTGAGCGAGTAGGCTTATAGCCCTTCTGTAGAAGCAGCTCGACCGCAGCACTGAGCTCATCGTAAGCACGCAAGGTTGCGCCATCCGTCTCATAGGAGCTCACATCGTGCCAACTAGCTGAGCCTTGTCATCGCAGCTTCCCCGGCCCCAGATGTGCTTGCCTAGCAAGTTATGTGCATCAATACCGAGAGGTATCACTGACCAGAAGACCGTGCCTACCGTCGAAGAAACCAGAGAACGGGGGATGAATCCATTCGTCCCAAGTCTCGATGTTCACAGGTACAACGTCTGGTACGAATGAGTAACATCATGACTCGAGTTGAACTTCCTCCTACCGAGGTGAGCGGCGAATACAAGGGGCTTCAACGACTCGTCTGATCCCTGCCAGCGATACACCAGGCCCCATTCGTTGATCTTGTTCACTTCAAGCTTTGAGTTACTATACGCACATGCACGTCAGAGACTGAGCGAGGAATCCCAACCGTTCACAATACTCTTCACTCACACAAGTGGGAAGCGCTCGCCGAAGAAATCGTGTAAGTCCTGGAAGATGTTCCAACGCGAGTCTTCCCCAGGCGCCTTGATATCATCAAAGGTCTGTGTGCTTTGGAAGAATGAGCACGTCATGGAGATACGGAGTTGCAACAGAAGACTGACGGGACGCGGACCGCACCGGCAAGGGACTCGATAGCCCACTCGCTGCCCTCGGCAGATAAGAGATACGCGTCGAGAGCCTCTGCTAGGCTGTCCTGAGTACGGGGAGCAATGGGCTCAACCTGAGGGCACAGCTGTGGCGCTGATGCAGATACAGATACGGATAGATGATGCTGTCTGGGGAGTAGGTTCAAGATGTCATGAGAGAAGTAATAGCAGGCGCCCAGAACACCGAGTGTGGCGACTTTCAGCACAGACGAGAGGCGGGACGAGCTTCGCGGGGGATCAAGCGAGGGCTGCTCCGCGAGCTGAGGGGGTAGATAGTTACGGGCTGCCGCCTTCATCGACGGAGCCATGGTGGTCAGAAACAACCTACGAAGTGCGAACTGTGGCGAGCCGTGGCGTGATAGCCCGGATCAGAGTATAAGCACAGTAACGGATCACAGATCCACGTGAGCGCGTCGCCGAAGGTCCGCGGTCCGGTCATTCTGCCAGCTCTCCGTTCACCTTCATGCTCTCCGCGCTTTCTCGTGGCCAGGCGTCACACGTTCCGCCAGTGAAGCATGTACGCTTCAAGGCCGTGATCAAGAAGAAGGCCGTGCGCGTTGGTCAGTAGTTTATATAATATTCGTCGCGAGCGCGTACCGACACGGAAATGTAGGCACGAAGCTGGGAAAGAAATGGGGAAACCAGGAGAACAAGGGACCGGCAAAGGTCCAGTCAGGAAAGCGTATAGTGCGTTGCAAATATTTGGCTGGTATATATTCAGTAATGACCATGCATCAGGCTTTCCGACCGATGCCTCCGGCGCAACTCGAGGTTAATCCCTTGTTCGCACATCGTGTCGAGTCCATTAGCGTCCCAGACTTCCAGCCGGTGCGCAATGCTTCATATTCTCATGAAGAATGTTACTCAAAGCTGCTATAGGCTGCTTTGACACCAGATAACACCGGCAAAGCTATGGGGCTACTCTCATACCAGACTGACCCGGTGTGGAAGTTTGGTGCACCAAGAAATGTCATCTACGACGTGCGTCCGGCCTAGCTATGCAGTACTACATTTTATTGAAACCTGCTCTCTAGTTGCGCCTATTGACCAAACCTGCTGCCGTCATTCGGGATGTTACCGTGAAGACGGTGGACACACTGAACGAAGCAGGGAAGGCGAGCAGCAAGGACAGTCGCTACGTCATTTGTACGTGCTCTTCATAAAAGACAAACATGCGATATTGAATGCATTGTACAGATGGCGAGGCTGGGAGCGGGAAGAGCTATACATTATTGCAAGCAGTTCAATACGCACGAGCAGCAAAATGGCTCGTCATGTACATCCCTCGAGGTACGCATCACGATTCGCATCCCCTTTCATGTTCTGACCCACTATTCAGCTGTAAGCTTGGTCAACTCCACCACGAACTTCTCCTACGACATGCGAACCCAAACATACGTTCAACCCGTTTTCGCCAGGAGTACATTATCGCGGTTCTTGACAGTGAACGAGGCGCTGCTGTCACACCTGAAGCTGGAGAGCCCGGTGGAGGTCGACCAGAATACGACCGTACCTGCTGGGGCATCATATGCCGATCTCGTACGAATTGGTACGGATAATGTGGCACTGGCGCCAAACGCGTTGTCCGGATTACTGGAGTCTCTCGGAAAGCAGACCAAGTGAGTGCCTCTGCAAGTAAACATTCAGCGTGTCACTCACCCTAATCCCAGGTATCCTTTCCTGCTGGCCGTAGATGACTTCCAAGCTCTCTTCAGCAAGAGCGCCTACAAGTCGCCACACTTTGAGACCATCAAGTCGTGGCACTTGTCCATGCCGCGCCTTCTGCTTGACTACTTTAGCGGCAAGCGTACCTTCGTAAGTCTCGAGTTGTGTTTCCTTGTGACGCTTTACTAATGTGTTGCGTAGGCTCGCGGGGCTGTCCTTGGTGCCATTTCGAATACCAACAGGGCGTACTCGCTCTCCCCTGCACTGCGCCAGGCACTCAACATTCAACCCGAGCTCGGCGCACCACCATTTTCGAAAGTTGCCCCGGAGTTGATAGCTTACACGCGAGGCATCAAGACCATTGAGGTCCCGAGCCGGTTGCAGATCAAAGAGGCTGCGTCTGTCTTCGAGATCTGGATGAAGAACTCGTCGTTGCACACCCGTAAGTACTCGAGCCTTTGTCAAAAAAGATACGAGCTAATGATTCGCAGCTGCGAATGACGAGCTGTTCATGTCGAAGTACGCCGAGACGTCTGGCAACGCGCGCGACTTCGTCTGGAAGGGTCTTCTTGCGACGTTGCGCACTTGAGGTGTCTGCTCACCTGTATAGCATACTTCATCACTAATTTCTCTACCTGCACATATATCAAGTCTCCTGTGTGATCGAGATGTGAAGACCTGTGGCGAGCTTTATTTAAGGTGACATTGATGTGGGATCGCGAATGGCTTCGGACGCTTCTGCCGACGGTGGCGCCGTGCCTGCTGATCGTCAGCGTGGAGGCACGACAATGATAACGCCTGCTATCGAACGCGTATAAAGCATGCGCCGGCATCGACCCGGGTGCTTTCTTCTCCACCCTCTGTGAGCTCACTGCGCGCAATGGGAAAGGCGCCTGAGAGCTCAGTCGGCTTGCCCGGCCCGACGCCACAACGTTGGCGTGCATCCCGTCCGCTCGCGCTGGCCGCACTCGCGTTTGCCGGAAGTGGCGCATTCTTGCTTTATGACAGTCTGGCCACGAGCTACAGTGCCGGTTCACGCCTTTCCGGCACGGGGCACGGCGAAATCAGCTACTCAATCGCAGGCGCTAACCGTTTGAACGCCGAGTTGTGCCCTCAAGTCCCTCCCTTAGCGCCGAGCAAACATCGTGACCTCGTTGAAGACCTCGACACCGTATATGCCGATGAGACGTACCGACTCTGGGCGTATGAAAACCTGGGCGCCGCTGTGCGCGTACCGTGAGTAGACTACGAAATTATACCTTCCACATCCACTCATCACTATGCAGAACAGTGACATACGACGATATTGGTCTACCCGGTGAGGACGACCGTTGGGATACGCGCTTATTGCTGCACGACGTGCTAGAGAAGCGCTTCCCGCTCATGTGCGTCAATATGACATTGACACCTTTCGTGACTGACACACAGTCACAGACACTCGAAGCTGGAGAAGACTGTCGTGAATACGTATAACTTGGTCTATCACTGGCAAGGCTCGGACGAGAGCTTGAAGCCGCTGCTATTGATGGGACACCAAGATGTGGTACCGGTTAACCCGGACACCCTGGATGACTGGATACAGCCACCGTTCTCCGGCTCCTATGACGGTGAGCCCTGAAGCTGTGCGTGCAGACGTGATCATTCTGAACAGCGGCATAGGTGAATGGATCTGGGGACGCGGAAGCTGTGATGACAAGTCGGGCACCATCGGCACTCTGTGAGTTTGCGATATAATACCTGCCAGGCCTTCACACTGACTCCCGAATAGCACTGCGATCGAGTCCCTGCTTCGGAAAGGCTTCGAGCCCAGTCGCACGGTGGTGCTCGCTTTCGGTATCGACGAAGAGCGAGGAGGCATTGATGTACGCCTCTCACGCTCTCCACACATGACGTCGCCCGCTAACGCGCGTCCACATCTGTAGGGCGCCAAGGTCTTGAAGGACTACCTCGTTCCTCGATATGGCCGAAAGGGCATCGCGCTCATCGTCGACGAAGGAGGTGGATACTCGGACAAGGGGGATGTCGTGTTCTCGGTTCCGAACGTGGCGGAGAAGGGCAAGTTCAATGCGCGCATCGACGTGTACACCACGGGTGGGCATTCAAGCGTGCCACCACCGCATACGGCACGTTTCTCATCAGCATCACATGTTGCGAGATCTGACAGGCTGTTCAGGGCATTGGGTACCTCTCCAGGTTGATAACCGAGCTCGAAGCGAACCCTCTCCCGGCTGTGCTTACTCGGGACGGGACTTACTTCAAGACGATCCAATGCCAAGCCGCATACGATCCTGCGACGCCCGAGAACATTCGGCAGCTGGTCGCAAAGGCAACCTACGATGATGATGCATTGGCCGAGCTACAGGCTGAGCTGATGAAGGCGGACGAGAGGACCTTCAGAGCGTTCACAGGAACGACGCAGGCAATTGATCTGATCGGCGGTGGGGTTAAGGTTAACGCGTTGCCGGAGCATGTATGGGCTGTTGCTGATCATCGTATCGCCGAATGGAGGTAAGACCACCTGCTGTGCAAGATAAGTATCTTGGGCTGACGATGCACGTAGCTCGGTCGCGGAGCTGCAGGAACGATACCGAGGCGTGCTGGGACTTGTAGCGACTGAACTCAACTTATCGCTGGACGCCTTTGGGTCATTGCTTGCGTCGGATGCACTCTCCGGGCATGTCAAACTCTCAGATGCATATGGAACAGCCCTCAATCCAGCTCCTGTCACTCCGACCTTCGGTAGTGCGCCTTGGGAGATTTTGAGTGGCACCATCCTCTCCTCCATCCAGACATCGGGTCGTAAAGAGGCTGAGAAGCCGGTCATCGTCGCTCCCGGACTAGGAATAGGAAATACCGATACAAGACACTACTGGGTAATGCTGAGCGAATAGCTCTTGGGACACGTGCTGACATCCTCGGCAGAATCTGACCCAGCACATCGTTCGCTACGCCCACGGATTTGCCGCTGATCGGTATAATGGAGCGCATACAGTCAATGAAGCCATACGAGGAGCGGGGTTCATTGAGATGATACGTTTCTACACTAGACTTGTCCTCAATGTTGACGAGTCTACGACCATTTGACGTTTATATAGCAGAGTATAAATGGAATTAGTACATACCAGCAATCAAGTTATCGACTCAAGTGTGACGACTTGATCGAATACATGTGACTGCGCCATTTATCCCATAATACGAGCACGCCTGGCTATCAATACTTTCTGCGTATCGTCGTATGTTGGAAGCACATCATGCATCATGGCCGCCAGTGAGCGCGAGTCGCCGTCGGCCGAAGGCCCGCGGCAATTGCCGAGACGCGGTCACATGTGTGTGGTTCGAGTTTGAGCCACACGAAGCGCTGGAAAAGATCAAGCCTCGAGGCACGAGTTGCTTCTGACACCGAGATCCTGCGAAATGGCCCCTTCGTCCCGTCTACCACGCAGGCAACGAACAGGCTCCTCGCCCGACCCGATTCTACTTGACTTGCCGACCGCTGCAAGCTCGGAGAACGCGGTGACAAAGCTGCCTACTTCAACGGCCATGTCGACTATCGGAAATAAACGCAAGGCCAGCCGCGAGCCCGAGGACGAGGAAGTGCCGCGCGCGAAGAGGGCGGCGCTGCCACCTATCGACGAAGATGGCTCTGGTCCTCGCGTTGCCCAACCTCAACCTCTACGGCCGAATCCGTCTGCCAACAACGGTGTCAGGCCTGGTGGTCGTGCACCCTCTGCTCTCGGCAAACCCCGCAGCGTCTCTGGCTCTGGCCCTCCGCGCACCACTCGTGCGACCAGCGCGCCACCAAAGCCTCCTACCCGACCACCGTCCCGCAATGCACCTTCTACGGCCCGAGTCCCCGTCTCTCGTACGGCCTCTGGCTCGCAACCACGCCCAGTCACGGGTGACCGTCAACTCAAGGACCTTCAGACTCAAGTGCGCTCCATTGAGTCTGCCCAGGCGGCGAACTCTGCGCGTTTGGCAGCAGACATGGATACAGAACGAACCAAAGTGGCACAACTACAGGAGAACCACCAGACTCTCTCGCGCGAGCTCGCTGCCGCGCGTACATTCGAGCTTTCGCAGCGTCGAGAGCTCGTCAACGCAAATGATGAGATGGACGCGCTCAAGAAACGACACGCTCGAGAGCTCATGGAGCTCGAAATGGATCTCAAGAAGTGCGAACGGGAGAAACGCGAGTTGAACGAGGACAACCGGCTGCTTCGGGATGATCTGCAGCGCGAGCGTACCACCGTCAGCTCGCTCAAGGGTACTATCGCACAACAGGAGACGGCGCAGCTCACACTCAAAGTCCGAAACGATGCGCTGCAGACCCAAATTGGCTCTCTCCAGTCTTCATTCGATTACTCTGCCGAGACAGTATCGAAGTTGAAGCTCGATCTTGAGACCTCTCAGAAGCGCGTGCAAGAGCTTGAAGAGGAAGTCCGCGAGGCGGAGATGATACGTCGTAAACTGCACAACACGATTCAAGAACTCAAGGGCAACATCCGCGTGTTTGCCCGTGTGCGGCCTGTTCTTCCTTCGGATTTGAGCGACCTGCGCACTTCAAGCTCGGCTCGCTCCCTCATCGCTTCGGGTTCCTGGGACGACGTCGATCTCAAGGCGCAGGCCATGGCCCAGATCGCATTCCCTGATGCACGGGATCATCGCGAGATTGTGCTTAGCTCTACGAGCGAGAGCGCCACCGGTCAGCAGCGCAACGAGACGTGGAACTTCGCATTTGACAGGGTGGGTGTCTCAAGCCTCGAGATCTTGTACTCGCCAAATGCTGATGAAATGACACCCACAGGTATTTGAACCGCAGAGCACTCAGGAAGACGTATTCGAGGAGATATCTCAGCTCGCGCAGAGCTGTACTGATGGGTATAACGTCTGCATCTTTGCGTACGGTCAGACTGGCTCTGGCAAGTCCTTCACGATGGAAGGTGGTTCGGTCAGTGTCTCTCCTCTCGTTCCTCATGCCGTAGCTGACATGGCGTTCAGACCCCGGCAAATGTCGGTATGATCCCTCGCGCTGTTGAGCAAGTCTTCCGCGTGACGCAGGAACTCAAGACGAAGGGCTGGGAATACACGCACGAGGGCCAGTTCCTCGAAATCGTGAGTTCATCCACTCTATGCTGTCTGAAACCTCTGACCGTCATCTCAGTACAATGAGACTATCAACGACCTACTCGGCCATGCCGACTTCGACAAAAAGAAGCATGAAGTCAAGCACGACAAAGGACGGACCTACGTTACCGACGTAGTAGTGAAGCCTCTCCGCTCGCCGGCTCAAGTCAAAGCCCTGCTCTCACAGGCGAACTCGCGTCGTTCCGTTGCGGCTACTTTAATGAACGAACGCTCCTCCCGCTCGCATTCCGTCTTCACTCTGCGGATCAAAGGAAAGAACGCACATACGGGAGAGAGCTGCGAGGGATGCTTGAACCTTGTCGACCTTGCCGGTTCCGAGAGGCTTGACGCGAGTGGAGCGGGTGCGAACAAGGAAAGACTGAAGGAGACACAGGCGATCAACAAGAGTTTGAGCGCTCTGGGTGATGTAATTGCTGCGCTTGGGGAGAAGAGCGAGAAGGGGGATAAGCACATTCCGTATCGCAACTCGAAGGTATGCTTCTCTCCTCGTACCCGACGACCGGTCAGTCGCTGACATACGGAGCAGTTGACGTATCTATTGCAAAACTCGCTCAGCGGTAACTCGAAGACGCTCATGGTTCTCAATTTGTCGCCTCTGGCAGCTCATCTCAACGAGTCGCTCTGCTCGCTTCGCTTCGCTACCAAGGTATGTGCCCTAGTATGATCACAGCCGAGATCACGCTGGCTAACGTATAGCGCAGGTTAACAATACCACTATTGGTACAGCGAAGAAGCTCAAGAGCGCTTGAAGGGTCTCGAGGTATGGTCGGCACTTTCGTTCTCCGAGTATTGGTAGCATTGCGCACAGATCGGGCTGCACGGACTTGGACTCTACTCTCTTGCGTGTAATCCTCCCAGCAGGGCTGGTCTCATCTGTATCATATACGACATCTTGCATACGCACTAGTTTCTCAATTCATTGCAGCAACTTTCTTCCTATACGGGAGGCTAAACTTGAACGATCCTGATATACGTGCCTACTCCATGCGGACTGTACGGGAACGGACCGTACCTACCGCAATTGAAACCGAGCGCTCTTTCGTAGCGCGTTTTACTAGTGCGTAGCATGATGGCGCCCGCAGCGGCTATGGCTTTCCATACAAGATTATATCTTGATATCCACGGAGGGCAAGTGCTCAACTCCGCGTCGGACAGTCCGGGTATCAAGGCGGCGTATGGTTAGCGTAAATGGTTATCTTGGTATGTCACCCACTGAAGTGCAGCTCTAGGCTTATAGTTAAACCTACCCGTATCATGTGCGAACGCGAAATAGGAACCGAAGTGACATGCTTGTTAGGGTTAGGGTTATAACGGTGACGCGTGCCACTGCCACATGCGATTGGGTCGCGGCTTGAACCGAACCATGATCCCGCCGCCTCCGGGCCTGTTCGGCTACGTTCAGACGCCGCTTCTGGTCTCGCTTCTGTACGCTAGGGAGAGAGCTATCTGATACTGTCTTTCGCGTCGAAGAGTGAGGAACGAATGCTTCATTATTGATGACCCCCGTGGGGAGTGAACGTCGGTTGGGGGATACCCAAGATGGTCTTCCCGAGTAAGAGGTTCTATATCTCTCGCAGAACTATGGACATGCATTTCACTATGCCTTCTCTCCCGTTAGCTATTTTTGTCCGGCGACATAGACGGAGGACTCGGGCAAGATGCACCGAGCTCGGGTGCGCTCGTCAGCTCAAGCGCAAGGTCATGGCGCTCCAAATTAAGCTTCAAGAGGCTTCGCTGGAATCGGCCATGTTACGAACTCAACTTGAGACTCAGCGCTACGCCTCTGCTCGCCGGCAACGGACTATTCATCACCTGCGGACGAGATGGACGAGGGAGAAGCGCGGATGCCACTCCAAACCTCCGAGCACACCGCGTGAGCGGGCCATTCAAACCGATAATATCCCTTCGGTCATCTCCGACGTATCTCTTTATGCCGTAGAGCGGGAACTTGAACTTCAGCGCACACTGGCGAATGAGTCGCGGAGACATGCGGAAGAGCTGGAGGAATCGTATGCGGAGATCCTGGCTTTCAAGGATGCGGTCCTCGCGGGATTGCGGGCAGACCACGCCGATCAGTCTGCTCAACTACGAGTCATTCGTAAGGAACTCAAACGCGCGGAGGCCGAGGCGGAGGATAGCTTGTTGCGGGGCGAGCTGCGTGCATTGGAGGGCGAACTCGACGAACAGTATCAACTGCTCACGCACGCTGCGCGTAATGCCGTCGACGGAGCGAACCGTATGGCTGCTCTCGTACACGACAATACCGCTCTTCGTTCCGAGCGCGATTATCTCAGAGAGGAACGGGCCGACCTTGCATCCCGCGTCGAGGCGCTAGAGTCTGCCTCTATCGAGACGAATGAACAGCGCGCGCTTGAGGCCAACTTTCTCGAGCACCTCAGGGACGAGCTAGCGAGTGCCACCGCGTACACGGTCATATCGAACTCGCCCGACTTCGCCGCCGCGGACGCCGATCTTGGATCTAGGTCCAGTAGCCCGCTCATGCATCTACCGAACATTAGTGCATCTAGTCTTCTCGACGAAGACCTGCCGGCCTCGCTCCCGATCTCTCCACACTCTCCTCCATACACCAATGGAGTGCAGGTCTTGTTGTCCTCTCCGCCACCGCGTTACTCCCATCCGGCTAGTACAGTGCATTCGCGATCGACCTCCCTATATGTCACACTAGCGGCGACGGACGGGTCTTCACCCATCGGGGGTTTATCTCCTGCGACGTCCTTACCTTCGTTGCCGTCCTCAGATCCTGTCACCATCAGAGCCTTCGAGCTGTCTCTTGATGAATATGTTGCCACCGGAACTTCGGCTTCAGGAGTAGATGGAGGTCGGTGACTGAACCATGGGCTTGGCCGTGCTCTATCAATACAGACGCTTTTTTGACATGTCTGTCAATCTTTCTCATAATAACGTTGCAACACAAGGTTGTCAGAGAAGCGCGTCAATCTATCCGCTTTGATATTTTCGAAGCCTTCGACATCAGGCACTGTGTCTGAGTGATCTGCGACGGTCTTCAACCGGTAGGTAATCTTCAACTTGTGAACTCTTGCGCCCTCGCACGCCACGCGACATGAGGCGTTGCGGAAAGCTCGGGGTGGAGGGAGGTACGATAAATAGCAGAGCAAGATGGGTACCGACCCTGCAACATCCTACTCCTTTTGCACTTCCACATTCTCACCATGATTTCCTCTACGCCCGACGAGATCTCTAACGCAAGTACAGCCTCTCATCGGCCATCTTCTTCTGCTGACCATCCTATAGGCATACGCTCGTATACAGAGCACCTTTACGTCCGGCAAGACCCGACCACTTGCATGGCGCCGTCAGCAACTCGTCCAAATCGGTAAACTCGTCCAGGAGAACGAGGAAATGCTTCTCTCGGCCATATCCGTCGACCTCGGAAAGCCACGTGTGGAGGTTATGGTCGCCGATATGGGTCCCGTCGTCTCTTTCGTAGTCGAGGCACTCGAGAAGCTCGAGGAGTGGGCGGCGCCGGAGAGCGTCGACGATGTACCGGCATGGCAGGCTAGCTGGGCTCCGAGAGGAGAGCGAAGGAGGCGGAGGAGGTGGATACGACGATCGAGGGGCTCCTGAAGTGGTTCGAGAGGTTGCCCAGGGGAGGAGAACGAGGAGAACGAGACTCAGCGTGAGCGGGACGCCACGACTCGAGCCGCCTAGCGAACACGAACGACCTACGTCTACACCGACCACTCGCGACACAACACTGCATTCGCTTCAAGACCGCACGCGGCGCGAACGACACGACTAAGAAGACTCCATTTTCATTTTATGATATGCTTGAACGTAGCTACACTGTAATTCGTACAGTCCCGCGTGGGGCTCCGGGCCCGGGGGACTGTGAATAGG